TGGGGTCCCGAAACGGCCAATCTCGAATTGTTCCTTCCTTGCGCGCCAAGGAGCGCTGCTGCTCTCTGCTGTCATGGGCCTTATGCAGCCGACTGGCTGCAATATTGCCGGTCCGGACCTGGGGTCTCGGGCTGCCACAGAAAGCGGGCTCTAAACAAGAATCGAGGAAAACACTTTGCAGCTAACGGCCGACACCATGACTTTTATTTTTTTTCGGAACCAACAACGAGCTTGTCCCTGACCATCTTCAGCAAGATAGTGCAACAAGTTGACAAACGTCCAGAGTCAACCATACTACAAGCGGGCAACCTCTCTCTAACCAGTTTTGCCTCCCGAGCCCCTGGGCCACTGGCATCCACGACCACGGCTTGGGCATCTCCACAGGAGGCCAAGTGCACCACGCCCTGTGCGGAACGGCGCATAGTTACAGCAAGCGTAAAAACGTAGCCTTTCCTTCGCTTTGACTTTTGATTAAAGTCATCACGCACCTCGCGCACGGCACATGCTTTTGCTGTTACCTCCAAGGACCTGGTTCGGTGAGTATCGCACGCGCCCCTGCCAGTATAGCCGAATATGGGGGACAAATCAGGAACTGTGAGCAGCTCCAGCTTGAGAAGCATTCCCGTAACATGCACAGGCATGGCGGGGAGTCCTTGTGTTCCTGTGAGCCGGGAAATTAGCTAGTCAGCCAATTGAAAAGAGTTGGCTAGTAAGCGAGGCGGCTGGAATAGTTTGCGTGGCTAGCAGATAGCTAATCTAGTAAGTTTATCAGTTACTCAACTGGTTAGCTCGATAACAAGTAAGGAAGTGACTCGATCGATGAATCAGTCAAATGCATTGATGCCAGTGGCTAGTTGGTTCGTTCAAATAGCCAGCGATCGAGGACACCTGCCAAAGGGCCGAATCCATGCAACGGCTACGCCTTTCTACTCCAGCTATTTATTCATCCTTTGCACGTGCAAGGCGTACGCTACTCAAACACAGCGCAGCTCACTGTTCCAAAAGGAGAGTAGTGTTTAAAGGATTCTGCGTGCTTCCATGTTTGTTGATGAGCCCACATTAACCGTGGAACCATGTTTGGTGAAGATTCCAAAAGGTAATAAATAAACCTGGTAATCTTGCAGGAGTAAGAAAAGCGAGAACACAACAAACTGAAATCAATCAAGACGGACTCAACCGTATCCTTTACTGCTCTTGGCTTGGGTTCTGTTCATTTCTTCGAAGAGGGCTGTGAACAACACACACACACACACACATTCTTATCCTGTCCTCATATTGGCCCTCCCAACATGGTTCTTTTTCACTTCGGATCTCAGTTGAGCCAACCCAGCCAGGTGTTCCTTTCAAAGCAGAAGAATGCATCCACGTTTAGGAACACCTTATGTTTGGGCTCTCCTTCTGCTGATTGTTTTTGACAGGAAACTCATACAACGCACCAAGAGGGGTCGCCGTCAACCAAAACTGGGGGGGGGAAGGGGGAACTCAAAAAGGGACTCCCTCAATATTTAAATTCCCTTCAAAGACAATTGCAATAAACGGCTAATGGTATGTATACCCGTACCTGAAGGCTCCGGGGTGGTCCAGGGCGGCCCTGAGGAAAGGTTCCACGAGGGTTCCACGAGGGTTCCACGAGGGTTGCAAGAGGGTTGCACGAGGTTCTGCGAGGGCTGCACTAAAAAGAGGGGATATCACCTGAGCTTATTTTGGGTGCCAGTTTTAGCTACAATTGATGGTTACTCAGGCCATAAACCGGTGTTGTTGGCGCCGATGCCTCCGGAGTCAGCAAGGCAGCCGCGACAGCTGCTCCTGAAATGGTGGCTTGTGCAACGGTTGGAGGCGGTTGTTTGGCTTACTTAGCTTCCACCTGAGCGCCATCCCGCAGTTTCGTGCAGCTTTGGGGCTCTGGCTGAGGCTGAGTTACTGTTAGTCCAGGTGGGTCTTGGATTGGTGCGGATTTTGACTGACACTTGGCGGCTATTGCCAGAACCTTTGCAACTAAGCAACTAAGCGAGCCCAAAATGCTGTGACCAACCCACCAGCGAGTTAGCCAGACGCCCAACCGCGCAACAGGAACAAATCAAGCCAACCAAGGAGACCTGCCCTCTAATTAACGTAAGCACAAGGTCTGAACGCTGAAAAAAACAAAACACAGCGCCGGCGCCTGCTCTGAAGCCCTGCGTTGTCAAGGGAAAGCAGTCATCAAAACGCATATGCTCTCGCAGCATACATTTCGCAACACGCAAATAAGTTTGGTCTGAGTAGGTAGGTGCAGTTGCTGCACTCACTCAAACTGTCGTACTTGCAACATGCCGCGCGTGAATGGTGAGGTCTAATACGACATCATCCGGGACATGGGTGCATGCCAGCGTGAATGATCAATGCCACACACACACACGCACACCAACACCAACACCAAACACCAACACCCAACACAACCACATCCAGAAACACGCACGCCAACGGCAACACAACCACAACCACCACCGCAACCGCAACCACAAACCCCACCACAAACACCAACACCAACACCAACACCAGCACCAGCACAAGCGCACCACAAGCACAAGCACACCCGCACACACGCACAAACGCACGCACGTGCGCAGTCTGCAAGTTCGCAACAGCACATGTTTGGTTCCAGGAATTCTTCTTGTTCGAGAAAAGCAACAACTGCTATTAATGACTGCCCGCAGGGAACAGGAACATCTTATATCACAGATTCCAACTGTGTCGAAAGGAACAAACACGTTGCAGAGTGGTGTTGCGCTAGGTTGTTTAGGGTGTTCCAAGAAATGAAAACCACCGAGAGCGCCTCTCGACGTTGACGTGCAAAGACAAGACTGTCTAAAAAATCACGGAAGTCCACTTGCGGGCAGCAATTTGTCAGGAGCTCCTGACTTGGAAAGGTCGAAGCCCTGATCTTGAGCAGCTGCTTCAAGTCGCACCTGCCATCCGGGCCAAGGTATCATCTTTCAAGAAGGGTCGAGTGGATGAGACAAATCCCATCCCTACCGTTTGCAGTATTGTGGGGGAAAATGGCGGCCCAGAAATTCCAGCACTCTTACCACAGTCAGGAAGCTGCGCACACCCTGGTCCATTCGCTTTTTTCCTTTCGAATCCCCCGCCCCTCGTTCCACCTTCCATTCTTCCTCGATTACCAAGCTGGCTCATGTTTGGCTCCTCTGATCCAATTGAGTTTAGCCCATTCCAGTCGACAGCCCTCCGGCCAATAATTTTTGCTGAGTTCTTCTTGCCAACATGTTTCTCCAATGCACATGTTGAAGCCCCCTGCCAATTCTCAAGGCAATCTCCAAACATCACGGAGTTAGAAACACTCCATTGCTTCACACCTCCAAAGCCAAACCCTCCCAGCTCTGTAGCTCTCCCCAGGCCTCTGCTTCGCTGAACGCCTTTTTGATTGCTTGCTGGGCCTGTGCCTCGTCCAAGGCCTTGCGCTGGCGCAGATGCGACCGGACCAGAGGGGACACATTGCGCACGCACGCGCGCCCATATTTGAGAGAACCACACTCGAGCAACACGGCTGACAAATTGAAGTTGGAGAAGGGCTGCCGCTCGCTCGGTTCAACTAGGTAACTTTGCAGGGCAGTCTTTGGCACCGCCTCGGGAACTGATATGGAACAACCTCACAGGCGAAAAAAACAACCACGCCCAACAACGATGACGGCAACCGTAACGACGGCAACAACCGCAACAGCAACACCGCCGTCATCACCACCCACCACCGCTGGCGATGCCGCCGCCACCGCCACCGTCACCGCCACCGTCATCACCATCACCGCCGCCACCACCACCACCATGCCAAAGCCAGCGCCAGCTGATGTTGCTCTTGTTCTTGTTCTTCTTGTTGGCGCTGGTATTGTGCATTGGTCTTGGTGTTGTTGGTGTTGGTGCCAAGCACGAGGTCAGCAAGCAAGTCGCGCCTGCTGTTGACAACAACCTTTTGCAGCCCTCGTGACTCCACAGCGATAAGAAAAGGCTGAACATGCAAAGGTCCTGGGGCAAACACATTTGAACACCTGGCGCAGTTTTTTGAGTTCCCATCGCTCCCGAGAATGCTGCTCCCTTGTCCTTCTGGCCTAAAAAGCTTGCTTCTAACAGCATGTCTTTTGCGAACGTGCGAGCAAATAAGTGGACGGACATTAAAACGATGCGGGCAGGAGCGACGGGATTGCATATCGTGAAACTAAAGCCTGTGCCACGGCAGCCCTGTGCACAAGCTGACAAACCGCTCGCAGTGACGCGCTGCCCAGCACGCCTTTGCAAACCAATCACGGGTCGCAGTCGCCGAAAGCTGAGAGCCAAAACCTAAATAAAGCAAACCACCGGCGGCTTAAACGACTAAACGACCCAAAGCGCCTGATGAGCAAGCTAACCAAACCCAACCCAAAACCCTAAGCAATAAGTGTTATCCCAACTGCTTTACTCGAGTTTACAGGCGCCGCAACAAATCTGTAAAATTGAGCCCAAACTTGGGCACTTCCTTGCGCGCGCTGCGCTCGCACCACACGGTACCCGCCACGTCTTGCGCAAACGAACCCAACCCCTGGCAAACCAATCCGAAGCCGCTCCCATTCGATACGGCCATCAACCAATCCGACTCAGACCAACCAATCAAAAGCACACCAGCTAGCGAAACGCATAACACCACACCACACAGCAACACAACACAAATAAACATCAAAGCAAAACAAGCACCAGCACTAGCAACAAAACTTCCGACACCAACACTAACAGCACTAGCGACACCCGCACCGACACCAACCCAATAACACCTTTGCCAAGCCAACAACATCAGATCAAGACGCGCAACATCAACACCAAGAGTAACAGCATCAACATCCACACCAACAACCATACCACTATCCAACGCACAACACCAGCAAGACCAGAATCGCCACCAACACCCAAACCCACACCCGCAACGACAACGACGACAGCGACGCCAACAACAACAATAATAAAATCCAAGCATAAAAAACACACAGTCACGCACGCACAACAACAACAACCAGCAGGAAACAACCAAACAAACACAAAACCAAGAACAACCAGCAGTAGCAGCAGCAACAACAACACTGACAACAACAGCAAGAACAACAGCAGCAGCAGCAACCAGAACAACAACAACGACGACGACCACCACCACCACCACCCCCACAGCAACAACAACAGCAGCAACAATAGTAATAAACAAGCACACAAAACATACTAGCGGTAGCAGCAGCAAAAACCGTGACAACCACAACAGCAACGGCAGCAACAATAGCAACAACAGCAACAAGCCCAAGAAGCACAAACGCACAAGAAACAGGACAAGCACAAAACACGCTAAACGCGCAAAAGCTCAATAATTGCGTAATCAAATATATTTATATATATTTAGATAGATAGATATATAGATTTGCATGCACACATGCACAAGCACGCACACATGCGTGCGGCACACGCACGCTGGCAAACACGCTTACACGCCCACGTGCACGCGCAAACACAAACACAGAACGACACAGGCACAAAGAGAAACATTGCTTTGCGCCTTTGCCTTCCAATCTGCTAAGCCAGGAACATCTGAGCAATCCACACCAAAAGCCGACCGCCTTGACCAGCATGTTCGGCAGAACTTTGCAGATCTCCGAGGCCACAAGGTGCCCATATCGGCCGTGGCCATCAGCCACCACCATGATCCAGGCGCCTCACACGTGCGTGGCGAACACCCCACTTCCTTGACCTCTACAAGGCCAGGCCTGTAACGTCGTCGAAGCGCAGACACATGCAATCTGGCAAGTCGGCTCCCAGAAGTCGGTGGAAGGAAGGGACATGATGTACATATTTCTATATATATATATATATGTGTGGTTTTTTTCCCCTCCCATCTCTTCTAGTTGAAGTTGTAACGTCTACTCGTTCTTGCAGATAAAACACTGTAAACTACAGTGTTTGTGCAGATAAAACACTGTAAACTACAGTGTTTCTGTTGGTGTTTTACCTTCTATATGACAGCAAACGTGTGCTTTGTTTCAGCTTGAAAGGCAACAAAGCGAAAACGGAATCCGTTTTCAGATTCGACTCTGGATTTGTTTGAAAACACTGGTTTTTACAGCGGTTCTGAGTACACCAGGGAAACGCATTGAAACAATGATGTTTTTTTGGCAGCTTTGAGCCCTGCAACCTGCGCAGACCCAAAAGCACAAAATCTCCTAAAAAGAAAGCTCTGAGACCTGCGCATGCCAAACGCATCTCCAGACCAAGTTTGGGAGTCTGGGGATATGTGCCCTGTATTTGTTTAGCCACATTTAAGCTAAATCATATTTGGGAATGAGTTACTATTCAAATTTGTTTGCAGAGGCCAAGTGATTTCTTTCCAGAATAAGCTCTATTCCGTTTCAAGTTGTATTTGGGGATGGATTCTTGATTAATTTCTTATGTTCAAAAGCTAACTGAAGTCTGTCTGTATTTAGACTCTACTGAAATGTTAATTTCCACATTGGAAATGTTTTTAGTTGAAATTCTGATCAAATATAGACATTATGGTGAATTATGAATGGTGGAATATTCTCTTCAACAATTCAATTTCCCCCTATTCAGCGGAATCTATATTTGGACATGTTGGAGGACTCCCAGCTCCAAATTACGAGGCTTGCAGAATCCAACATTGGACATCTCGAGGATTCTGATCTCCAGATTCTAGGTTTCAGGTGCTTCACCATGGACATTTCAAGAAGGGACTGCAGGTCCAACAAAATGCTGTAAAACACAGTGTTTTAAAGAAATTGCTCAGATTGTGGTCCCTTGGACCGAAGATTGTTCATTTCCCAACCAACATTTTGCCCCCTTCAACATTCCAATTCAATTCAGAGTAAAATCCTTTTTGGAAAGGGTTTCATGTTGGAGGACTCCCAGCTCCAAATTATGAGGCTTGGAGAATCCAACATTAGACTCGAGGATTCTGATCTCCAGATTCTAGGTTTTAGGTGTTCCGAAGTGGAAATGTCAAAGGATTAGAGGTCAAAAAAAGCCGTAAAACACAGTGTTTTGCAGAAATTGCTCAGATTGTGTTCCCTTGGAATGAAGATTGTTCCTTTTCCCAGACAACATTCTCCCCAAACAACAGTATCCATTTGCTACGCATTAGGCCTACATAAGGTTTGTAAACTTGCAGGAAAGTTTGTAAACCTGCTTGAGTGTTAGCGTTTTCCTGCAACAAGGCAACACTCATGGTCCTGGTAGAGAGGGGGGGGGAGGGGGGGAGGGGGAGGGGGGGGTGAGGCCCGTACCTTTGTGGTAGTAGAGGTCGTTGATTTGGTCCCTGGATCTATTCCGGAGAGAATCCAATATGCCACTATGGATGATTGGAGGATGGGTTGTCCCTGGTGGATTGTCTTGTGGATAATCCTGTAAGCGGCCTGCAAAGGTCCTTTTGCTTCACGCTGTCATGGATGATGCAATGTTACACAAAAGGGGCCTTGAGCCAAATGTTGCAGGAGATCAAGTGTTCAGTAAACCAAACACAAAACAGACACAAATTTCTTTTGATCTCCAGCACTAAGTATGAAATACTATTGGCTTCATGGCCTTTGGCCGTAGCCTTGATGTATGCCGTAGCCATGCTGTATGCCGTAGCCATGTGTATTAAAAATGCCGGATTCATCCTCTTTCTGCTCGGATGAAATGTCTTGGCTTTCGAAATGGGAAACACTATGTGCTGCTTCTTTTTGAGATACCTAGATGTATCAAAAGGTGATGTACAACGCTATGTACTCGCGGGACGATTGTGAAACTATTGATCTCTCACTGTGTAGTCTTGTAGGCGGTGAGGATCAATCATCTGAATTGATTTCGTGGCGCTGAACGTATGAATCTTCATGGTCAGTCGGATTGCCATAGTCTCCATAATCATTCCAGGTCGAGGTGCTGTAGTCCTTCCACTGCTTCTGATGCCCCCACTGCCTGTTATAGTCCTTGTACTCCTGCAGGGTCCAGGCTTGTTTCTTCTTGAGGTACTCCTGGTATCTCTCAGAGTTGCGTTGCCTGGTTACAGATTTGCTGCGGATGTAAACCATGAGGGGACTGTGCGAGTCGGAGTCCTGCGAGCCATTCATGAACATGTCATTGCTCACGTGCTTAAAGCGCTCTGCGGATGAGACCTGGTAATCGAATATGGCCTTGGTTGGATCGTTCCGCATGGATTCCAGTTGTTCATCTTCCATACCGTTCATCTCGTCCTTCCGGAAAGCCTGCTGGATGTTCGTTTTGCCCCATCCAAATACGAAAGTCATCATCACATCTGGGAATGTTCGATCATATCCTGATCCACACTTCATGTGCAGGTGATGACGGACAATGGATTTCAGGGTGCACGAAGTCTCCATTGCATACTCCATTCTGTCCACGAGTGGCAAATTCTTCGTTTCATTCCACAGTCTCTGATGTGCTCTCATGAGGATGTTCACGAGACCGTTGGCCGGATTGAAGACGTGCTGGAGTTTGCTGTAGGTATTCGCTGATTTGTTGGCGTCTCCGGTGATCGCATCGCATCGGTACAAAGTTACGAGCGGCGTGATTTCGTTCTGAAGATCTTCCCGTGCTGCTCCATGGCTGATTGAAGGATGAATGTGGAAAACTCCAATGGTAGCAAATGGGAGATCTGCCCTCGTTATGTGGCGGTCGTCATACTCTTGGAGTGACTTGTTGGATGATTTTGGGGTCATGCCACGAAACTCATCACTCTGCTCGATATGGAGAACGACGATCTCCTTGTCTCGGCCATGTCCTTGGACAATGGTGCGTGCTGGCAATCTCGGTCCAATGTACTTCTTGGATTCAGTAAACATGGATGGTCCTGTAGTTGCCAAGCAATCCGAGGTCGGAATTTCGTATTCGGGATCAGTGCAACTTCCTTCGGTTCCGAAGAAACATCTGAACATTCCGAATGTGGTTCCCCAATTCTGGCTCTTGGTGGAAATGTGTCTTGCCAGAAGTTCCACTCTTGCAGAAGGTCCGCCACGGACAAAGCATGCGATCGGTCTGGATGACCATTGCTTGATCACGATGCCCTTGTACCCGAATCGGATGAACGTCTTGATGAGCTCCCTGGATTTCTCATCATTAGGACTGAAGAATGCGTCTGCTTCATTCAGGCATAAGATGTGTGCACTGTTCTGCATCATCATCTTCACGATTGGTCGATCCTTCATCGGCATGTTGTACACCTCCCTGTTGTCCAGCTTTGGATTCCTCGTGAGGTTTCCATGGTTCAGGGTAAGCATGTTGATCGCTATGGATGAGGTGAACTCATGCATCTTGAGATAGTCCACAGGAGGACGGTCGGTCGGCTGCATCAGCGATCCCAGGATATCGGCATATGCTCGGATGATTTCCGGGTCATCATGTGACCTAAGCTTCTTCAATCCAAGTGGAAGCTTGATCGGATAGCCGGATCCTGGTTGTGCTTGCTTGTACTCGTCCATAGTGGGACATTCTCCTCGATGAGGGAAGTAGAATTCTTCTTGAGATTGACATCGGGATCGACATGTGCCAATGAGGCTCTCTCGCGCTCTGTCAATTTGGGATGAGCTCTTCTTGGATCTTTGTTGTACTGTGTTCATGAGGCGGAGGAGGTTTGCCTTGGTCTCCGCGAGCTCTTCCTCTGCGTCCTTTTTGTTCAAATCTGTTTCGAGATGGATTCCCTTGAGTTCTTGGATGAACTCGTCTAGGTTCTCTGAATTGTGATATTCCACGGTGACCTTTGGTTTGACGGATCTTTCCCCGGAGGGTTCCATGGTCTCCTCTTCAGCTTCGTCCTGATCGGTGGAATGCCGTCGCTTCTTGGTCTCTGAGGAAGTATCTTTTTGCTTGCTGTGCTTTGTGGAATTCACATAATTGAAGAAGGCATCGGCAAATTCGCGGATCTTGGTGTCGTACATCTCGTAATCTTCATAACTGAGATGCTTCTTCATGATCCACTTGTTGCTCGCCATGATGCTGCCATCAGGTTCGAATGCTGCAACAATGTTCCTTGCCTCGATGGTTTGATCTGTCAACGCTGTTCGCTCTTCGGAGAGTCGGATGCCATAGTCTTGGTTCTTGAGGAATGCAAGGATCAACAGTGCATCTCTTCCTGCTGGCACATGGGGTAGTGCTGCTTCTGACTCATCGTCATCAAGGATGACGTCATCAATGCATGCCATGTGCTCCCCGAAGGGTTTGACTGGGACTTCCCAGATTTGAGCCCGTTCTCCATGATACTGAGGAGCTGATTTCCATAGGTTGCATGGAACATGAATGTGATGGGCTTCTTGGCGAACGGCTTGATTTTTCTCTCTTCTTCAATGGGTGGTGGTGCCGGCCTTCGCATTCTGTGCTTGGGCTGAGCTGTGCCTTCATCTTCATGAGGCGCCTCGGATCTTGACGGATGCGGACTCGGTGGAATGGATTCCGTTGGGAAATCATAGTCCGGTTCGTCGTATTGAGGCTCTCTCTGCTGCTCAGAGTACAGGGGTCGTCCAAAGGATTGGATCTCGACTTGTCGTGTGTGTCCGCTATTGCATCTCACATAGAACTCCATCTCTGGATCGACATAGAATTCCTTGCCATCGGGCCAGAGTGCATCTTGTGCGGATCTCGTGTTGAGCTTTTCGATCCACCGATTCCTTGGAACAATTCTCCCCGTGCCTTGCGTTCCTTATATGACCCGTCCACGAATGGAAACACGAATGCAATTTCGAAACGTGATTTTCCATAGCTCGGGAACATAGCCATCAAGAGAAGTCCTGGCTTATTTCTAATGAAGTTCCTGGCATGTGTGATGCAGGTCAATGCGTCATA